TTTTATCGTGGGTTTCCTGAGCCCGTAGGCTCAGCCAAAAAATATGCCCGTATGACTCGTAAAAACGAGATCAGGGTAGGTCATTCACCCCGAACGAGATTCTGCCCTTCGGCGGAACCTCGTCCGGGTTCCTTTCTGCTCAAAAGCAGAGTTCGACCGTCAAGTCGAAAAGATCGGCTTGATTCAGTATCTAGCCACCCCCCACGAGGGTTGCATGCGACACAAGGTCATTTTTTATCGGGGTTTCCTGCCCGTATGCGACACAAAATATGGTCTCGTAAAAACGAGATCATCGGTCATTCACCCCGGGTTCTGCCCTTCGGCGGAACCTCGTCCGGGTTCCTTTCTGCTCAAAAAGCAGAGTTCGACCGTCAAGTCGAAAAGATCGGCTTCGGTATCGTAAAACCCCCCAGATGCGACACAAGGTCATTTTATCGTGGGTTTCATTCACCAAAAAATGCCCGTAACTCGTAAAAACGAGATTCATTCACCCCGCGAGATTCCCCTTCGGCGGAACCTCGTCCGGGTTCCTTTCTGCTCAAAAGCAGAGTTCGACCGTCAAGTCGAAAAGATCGGCTTGATTCAGTATCTAGCCACCCCCACGAGGGTTGCATGCGACACAAGGTCATTTTTATCGTGGGTTTCCTGGGCCCGTAGGCTCAGCCAAAAATATGCCCGTATGACTCGTAAAAACGAGATCAGGTGGGTCATTCACCCCGAACGAGATTCTGCCCTTCGGCGGAACCTCGTCCGGGTTCCTTTCTGCTCAAAAGCAGAGAGTTCGACCGTCAAGTCGAAAAGATCGGCTTGATTCAGTATCTAGCCACCCCCCCACGAGGGTTGCATGCGACACAAGGTCATTTTTATCGTGGGTTTCCTGAGCCCGTAGGCTCAGCCAAAAAAATGCCCGTATGACTCGTAAAAACGAGATCAGGGTAGGTCATTCACCCCGAACGAGATTCTGCCCTTCGGCGGAACCTCGTCCGGGTTCCCTTTCTGCTCAAAAGCAGAGTTCGACCGTCAAGTCGAAAAGATCGGCTTGATTCAGTATCTAGCCACCCCCGAGGGTTGCATGCGACACAAGGTCATTTTTATCGTGGGTTTCCTGGGCCCGTAGGCTCAGCCAAAAATATGCCCGTATGACTCGTAAAAACGAGATCAGGGTGGGTCATTCACCCCGAACGAGATTCTGCCCTTCGGCGGAACCTCGTCCGGGTTCCTTTCTGCTCAAAAGCAGAGAGTTCGACCGTCAAGTCGAAAAGATCGGCTTGATTCAGTATCTAGCCACCCCCCACGAGGGTTGCATGCGACACAAGGTCATTTTTTTCGTGGGTTTCCTGAGCCCGTAGGCTCAGCCAAAAAATGCCCGTATGACTCGTAAAAACGAGATCAGGGTAGGTCATTCACCCCGAACGAGATTCTGCCCTTCGGCGGAACCTCGTCCGGGTTCCTTTCTGCTCAAAAGCAGAGTTCGACCGTCAAGTCGAAAAGATCGGCTTGATTCAGTATCTAACCCCCCCACGAGGGTTGCATGCGACACAAGGTCATTTTTATCGTGGGTTTCCTGAGCCCGTAGGCTCAGCCAAAAAAATGCCCGTATGACTCGTAAAAACGAGATCAGGGTAGGTCATTCACCCCGAACGAGATTCTGCCCTTCGGCGGAACCTCGTCCGGGTTCCTTTCTGCTCAAAGCAGAGTTCGACCGTCAAGTCGAAAAGATCGGCTTGATTCAGTATCTAGCCACCCCCACGAGGGTTGCATGCGACACAAGGTCATTTTATCGTGGGTTTCCTGAGCCCGTAGGCTCAGCCAAAAATATGCCCGTATGACTCGTAAAAAACGAGATCAGGGTAGGTCATTCACCCCGAACGAGATTCTGCCCTTCGGCGGAACCTCGTCCGGGTTCCTTTCTGCTCAAAAGCAGAGTTCGACCGTCAAGTCGAAAAGATCGGCTTGATTCGGTATCTAACCACCCCCACGAGGGTTGCATGCGACACAAGGTCATTTTTATCGTGGGTTTCCTGAGCCCGTAGGCTCAGCCAAAAATATGCCCGTATGACTCGTAAAAACGAGATCGGGGTAGGTCATTCACCCCGAACGAGATTCTGCCCTTCGGCGGAACCTCGTCCGGGTTCCTTTTCTGCTCAAAAGCAGAGTTCGACCGTCAAGTCGAAAAGATCGGCTTGATTCGGTATCTAGCCACCCCCCCCGAGGGTTGCATGCGACACAAGGTCATTTTTATCGTGGGTTTCCTGAGCCCGTAGGCTCAGCCAAAAATATGCCCGTATGACTCGTAAAAACGAGATCAGGGTAGTCATTCACCCGAACGAGATTCTGCCCTTCGGCGGAACCTCGTCCGGGTTCCTTTCTGCTCAAAAGCAGAGAGTTCGACCGTCAAGTCGAAAAGATCGGCTTGATTCAGTATCTAGCCACCCCCACGAGGGTTGCATGCGACACAAGGTCATTTTTATCGTGGGTTTCCTGGGCCCGTAGGCTCAGCCAAAAATATGCCCGTATGACTCGTAAAACGAGATCAGGGTAGGTCATTCACCCCGAACGAGATTCTGCCCTTCGGCGGAACCTCGTCCGGGTTCCTTTCTGCTCAAAAGCAGAGTTCGACCGTCAAGTCGAAAAGATCGGCTTGATTCGTCCCTATCACTGTTTGAGCGAGTATTATCGAGCAAGAGCTATTACTTCGAGTGTTATTCCAAGGCGTCTGGCACCAGTATTGTTCAACGGCGTACTATAGTTGTATCGACGATTACAAAGTCTCTACTACATCGAGTATTACGAAAGTGACAACGGGTATTCGTTGGCATCACAAAAGCGTCAAACGAGTGTTGGTTGAGTCACAGAAACCATATAGCTGCAATTAATTTTAATCCTCTTTAAAGGATGATTGACTGATTGTGTTTAACGGCCACACAAAATCTTGTGGATTATTTAGAGCCAAATTCATTGTGTTGCAAAGATATTTTGTAGCTGGTCAAGTGTAGATGAGTGTAAGTTTTATAGTTCTTCAGATATGGTTGAAAGAACATTTTATAGTTTTTACGTATGGTTGACGGAAAATTTTTTCTCAAGTATGGCAGAGAAGAAGTTTTATTGTTCGTCAGGTATGGTTGAAAAAAGTTTTTATTGTTTGTCGAATATGGCTGAAAACAAGTTTTATTGTTTGCCAAGAATGATTGAACGTACGTTTTTTTTTGTTTTTGTAAACACTTATAAATATTTTTTTTTCTTTTATTGTCCAATATTTTTCACAAACTGCAGTATGTTATCTGGTTGAGTATTTTCCAAACATTCTCTAAAATTGTTCGTTTTGTAATACTTGTTTCGATTTTCAGAGAATTCAAACAGTAACAGGATGTGATGGATAGATTTGTCGCCATTGTATATTTTTAATTTCGTGCATGCCTGTTGTTTGTTTTTGATTTTGTCGACTGAACAGTATAGTAGGGTCAGAAATTTGGTATTCGCATCGAAAAATCTAATACGAACAATTTAGAGTGTCAATCTGAGGAGAGTTCTGAGGATTCAGAATGAGTTGGGGGAGTCTAATAGTGTTTACGACGGTGTTTGGAGTTATCACTATCGATGGTGAAGCTACTGCTCCATTCATCTTTGCACAGGGCCCCATACACAACACGGAGGCCTACATCAAGGTCATGAGGAGGTAGTGCTGCCCTGGATCAAGAGGATGGCTGCAGGAAGACCCTATGTCTGTCAATAGGTATCTGCACCATACCACACATGCAAGAGATTTCAATCATGGCTGTCAGACAATTTCTGCGTCCTCATCACCCTTTACATTTGGCCACCTAACACACAAGACTGTAATATCCTTGTTTATTACGTGTATTGCTAAGTTGAGTGAGAGACCAACAAAACTCCTTGGGATACCAAAAGATGAAGTGAAGGCAAGGATTATGGCAGCACTCACCAACTTAAACAACGAGACCGCCCAGAAAAGTTGCAGGAGATCCCGAAGTCATCTGGAGACCGTGGTAGAAAATGATTATATTGAATACATTTACTTTTTAGTATTTCAAGATATTTTTGTGTAATTTTGGTAGATATATATGTTAAAATGAGATGTGAGTGTTATTTGCATTTTTCTGTCATTTAAGCGACTATTTATCCATCGTACCCTGTATCTAGATGCAACCATCTGTTCTCTTCTACTAGTTTGGTTTCGCGCGCTTTGCACCTGTGGAACTCCCTTCCGAGATTTTACCTCGCCTGCAATCTTTTAAAAATCTATAATGCAATCTCAATCGCCATCTTCTATCTCCAGGAATCCAGTTGCTTTATTGCAATTTCTTTTCTTTTGGCCTCATTAAAATCTTATCTTCTTTCACTCCCTGTAATCCCTTGCGTCCTAATAGCATTATCGGAGTGCTTGTGGTGGAATAATTAAAACAAAAAGATTTCCATTTGTACCACACCTGTGCTAAACCTGGAAGGTATAATCATCGAGAGAGAAATTAGTTACACCTATAATTTTATGCACCTAATATTTAAAATCTTTTCCGATTTTGTCTCTGTATGTACACCTGCCTGTTTTGTGTCACAAAACGGAGATGTTACCTTCTTCAGAAAGTTTATACGTAGAGTTACTAATATAGACTTATTTGTTGTTTTTTATACGTTTCCCCCGATGCAAAGCGATAAACATGCTAAAACGCAACGGGTTACTGAGAGATAAAGAATCCGAGAAATTGTTAAGGAAATAGGTTTTAAGGAAATGAAATAGAAGCTGACGATTGATTTCATTTAAAATTTTTGAAAGATCAAAGTTGACAGGAATGCAAGAATCTAGAAGAGAGCCCCATGAGCGAGGAGTGTGAGTGAAGAAACTATTAGCATAGAACTTACGCTTACATCTAGCTATTTCATATTTAAAATGATGAGACCCACCCGCCATTCTAGTAATGCGTTTAAATTCGTCAAGTCGAGTTATATATACAGTGTGGTTCAGATTAATCCGGAATGTTTACGTGGCAACGGTGCCGTAAGGTCACAGCGTAGCGAGGTTTCGGGATCAAGTACTGCACCTCTGTAGCTGTCTCGCCATTCACGAACGAGATGCCTTGTAAGCCACATATCTTCAGAATAGCGGATGCTGCTTTGGAGAGCCTCTGTGCCGGCCACAAAATCAAGGAAAGCATTGCCTGGTTTAAATACCCTAAAATCATGGTCCTCAAATGTCAAGAACAATTTCAGGCCATAAGAAGCGCTCTGGCGCCACCAGGAGGCCCGACTTTGTCGCGATGTTGTCAAGGTGATCAAGGTGATCAAGGGGAATCACAGCTAAAGCATGAAGAAAATTACCAAGGAAATGGTTAGCAGTAGGCGAACAAATGGCCGTATTCTCAAGGAAGACTTGTATTATACGTCTTATTGCTGAAGAGGTGCCATTTGCTCACCCGACTAATGCCCACAATATCGCCAGAGTGCATTCATCTCGACTAACTTTTGTGGGGCGTCTTGTAGTGAAGAGCAGGCCCTAGAATACCAAGGAGAATCTCAAGGCAGCCATCATGGACGCCATGGCGAACATAGATATGGACGATGTCGCCATGGCCTGATCCAGCTTCCGTTCCCGCTAGGAGAAAGTGATGGCCTCCGATTCAGGCCACATCCCGTGATTTTTGTACCTTATATATGCGCCTGTGCGTGACGTTTCGTTGAAATATACTGTTATATAAAAAACGCTTTTTTATTATCCATTAATTTACCCGGATTTATCTTCGTCGCATTATATATTTCGATTTGAATTTTTGCAATGATGAGTCATCATTATTTACACTATTAACTTTTGCTTTCATCTTTGATGTTGTTATTAATAATGGAATTATTAATAATAGAATTAATGGATTTATTTTTAACCCGATAGTATTTTTTCTGCGAAAGGAGACGCAAGTTCGATTCCTGCCGTAGAACAGATTTTCTTTCCTAATTTTTCTTGAATGTGCGGACCGATGGACGTAATACCCACTTTTTAATTAAATAAAAATTCGTTTTCTACTTCAAATGCTAGAATCCACCATAATATTGTTTGAAAATTTTTGATTATTTACCCATTAGCAAACACTTCGAATCTGAGCGATTTTTAAAATGGGAATTGCTTAACGTGAAAATGTTCAGTAGAGTTTTAAAATATCTATGGATAACAAGGCCCATTTTTTAAAATCGCGCTGTGTGAAACAGACTGTTCATAGGGAAATAATGAATAAAAGCAGATCATTCTTTCATATATATCAAAGGATTATAAAAATCACACAAAATATATATATATATATATATATATATATATATATATATATATATATATATATATATATATATATATTTATATATTTTGTTATGTAAAAAAATTTCTGCACCGATACATAGATATTTTTATTTAGGTTTGGCTTATCAACATCTATGGGTTATTTTATGTCAAAATCTATATATATTTTACGCAACTTTATGGCTACATATATTTTTGTACAAATTTTATACTTTCAGGACAAGAGTAGATTGAAAATGCTAAAATATATTGTTTACTATATATATATATATATATATATATATATATATATATATATATATATATATATATATATATGTGTAAATTTTGTGCAAATATATAGACATTTGTATTTAGTTTTTGGAATATCAATATCTATGGGTTATTTAATGTCAAAATCTATATATTTTGTACCTAAATTTATGGCTACATATATTTTGTACAGAATTTTATATTTCAGAACCAGAGTAGATTGATGATGCCAAAATATATTTTTTATCATCATATATATATATATATATATATATATATATATATATATATATATATATATATATATATATATATATATATTTTTATTCTTTTATAATGTATTTTTTCTAGACTTTTTTTAGTCTTTTAGTGATTGTTAGTTTTATACAAAAATGTATATTTGATTATTTTATTATAACAATGTATTATTGATAATCATTTTTTTAATATAAAAATATATTACTGGTAATTTCACTACATAAATATGTTATTTTTAAAGTGTTTTCTTTTTTGATATACTTTCCTTTTGTATTGATTCATATTTGGAGATTCACTTTTTGCCCATAGATGGGACCCTAACAGGTGCTACCCACCACCCGTGTCAGGGTGGAGCTGAAGAAAACAGCAATTAAGAAGTAATTTTCCGCCCCTCAAAACCTCCAATCTCCTGATCAGCCGGGTGTAAGATACATATACACATAGGAAGAGTGCACAGATGCTAAACTGAGTCGAGGTGACGATCGAAATGTAATTAACTGCACGGACACGGAATTCTCTGGATGCATATGACAACATATGTAAATAGTCAAAAAATATTGTAACTTATCTAAACTCAGCAGCAATTAGCCGATTTGTTTTTAATTTTACTGCTAAATGAATTAATAGAAAAATAACATTCTAATTTGGCTGGTTTATATCGCAACTCCTCATTAGCGTCTTCATGTTTGTAAATTAATACGCGACAAATAAACTATTTTTTAAAATTCTCAGATGAAGTGTTTATGTGTGTCAAATCAAGGGTTTACTGAGAGAAGAAATGGCTTGTAAATTGTAATGCCTCCAAAACAAAACTGATCTCATTTAACTACCATAGAGAAACTTTTGTGCCTACCATCAGCATGGCTGTTCATAGACTTCTCGAAAACAACACACTGGAACGACTCCATCGAATCAATAGCTACATCTAGTGCAAGGATTGTGGTCCCAGAAAGTTTTTCCCATTCAGAGTCAATTTTGCACATTTAAACATTTACCATTCGTCCGTGCATTGGATACTGTTGCCATATCTGGTCTGCTGTCCTTGCTGCTCATCTCGATGTTCTTGACAATATCCAAAGAAGGATCTGCAATAGAATCGATTCTAACTTGGCATCTCGACTTCAGTCACTACTCACATAGGTGATGTGGCTTCCCTCTGTCTTTTCTACAAATATTTTCAAGGAAACTGCTCTGATGATTTTTTTTTCCTGGTGCCTTGACTACATGAATTTAAGCGTGTTACTAGATTGGCATGTAGGTCCCACCAATTTACTGTTGAATTAGTTACATTTTAACCGCCACTTCTATTAGGTTGGTGCAAAAGTAATGACGTAATAATGTCGTTTTTTGACGTTAAAAAATACGCCAAAAAACGACATTATTACGTCATTATTTTTGCACCAACCTAATACTATTATTATCACCGTCTTCTACTTTTCCACCATTCCTCTTTAATCTTTACTTTCACTTTCACTCTCTGTAACACTGGAATGATTAAAACATATATATGGCAATAAGATTTTACATTGAGAGTTGGCATTATGAAATTAGTTTTTTTTTTATTTCTTGCGCTCAATCATTGGCTTCCCTGTCAGATTTTATGAATTAATTGACGGATTCGTTTTTTACGGCTTATCAACCCTTTCCAGGTTATTTAAAGGCAGAATTGTAAGAATTTTTTTTATTTTGAGATAATAATGGTTTGGTAATAGCGGTTTTATTAACTTGCTTGGGGTGAAATTCTTAAAAGATCTGACCATTCTTCTTACCTTTAACTTATTATCATCGTCTTCTACTTTCCATCTTCTCTCTTTCATCCTTTCTCCCCTTCAACTTCTTTTTTTCATCCTCTTTCGCTAGCTTCTAATTCTTCTTCTGTTTCTTCTCCTTCCACATCCTCCTCCTCATACTCATCTTCCTTCTTTTTCTCTCACTCTTTGTTTCTTTCCCTCTTTCCCTCTTCCTTGTTCTCGGATACACGGGTGATGTAATAGTTAGCGACACGGAATGAGAAACTGGAGAGCCGAGTTCGAATTCTCGTCAGGTTTGACTTACGTGCAAATCCATTTGGCAAACTGTATTCTGTCTTCTCTAGGGCTTATCAAACTTTTTCGGGTTATTTAAGGCAGAAAATATTGTTTTTATTTTGTAAGAATTTTTTTTTAGGTAATAATAATTTTAGTGACACAAGTCTGACTAATTAACACATAGATAGTGAGAGAAGAGGTGGATTTATACCATTGTGAAGGGTATTTGTTCGTATATGAATATAAAGAAAAAAAATGGAATTAGATCTCAGGTCTCCGATTAACAATTCCGGGCCATTATCTATTACACCACCCGCACATCCAAGCTTACAGCACCCGGTATCCCCAAGCGGTCACCACTGACCAGCCGCGACGTTGCTCCATAGTTAGTCATGAATCGAATGAGACACGATTGACCAAGAATGGACCATGTATGGGACTTAACTGACTGACTGAATTGTTGAGCATAAAAGTGTTATTTTTAAAAATTGAAGAAAAAATGTTTCATTTTTTCTTTAAATTCATATTCCGTGTCAGATTTCCTTCTTTTGAGACTTGGCATCACATTTTTAGCGAAAACAGTTTGCAAACTAACTACTCTCTTGGGATTCGGAGTTTTAAAATATCTTCGTTTTTTTCTTTCTCATTGACAATGCTTCGTACGTGGCAAATGGCACTGATATCATTCCATACTCATCAATATCCATATTACTTGGTCTAAACCCATTTTCTCCCTCAGTGTGTTATCAACGTTCATTTCATCAGACATTCCGTTGTTACTTTTGTTTTTCTTTTTTTCTGTTTGGCTGTATGACGCTCTGCCATTAGCGCTGATCCATTTGCAGAAGTTCATATCTTTTATTGTCAGGAAACTTTGTTTATAGCAAGGTATTATAAAACACTACTTCGTGTGGTTTCGCTGAATTATTTTCAGCAATAAAACAGTGTTATGATTGAATCGAATTTTATGGCATTTCCCCAGACACAGAAAGAGAAGCACTCTCTGTTCACGAAACGAATGTAATGAAGAAAAGAATTTAAGAAACTCGCATGAATTGTTGCACCTGCTTTTTAGTATCACGCTCGGTAATCCCTTGCGTCTGAGTGGCTTTATTGCATTGCTTGGGGTGAAATGATTAAAAAAAAAAATCAAAATCTGGCCACTTTTTCCTCTAACTTATCGTCATTGTCCTCCTCCCCTTCCACCTCATCGCTTTAATCTCCTCCCCTCGTCTTTATTTCCTTCTCGTTCTTCATTACCATTTTGTTGATTTTTCATCTTCCACCTTCCACCTCCTATTAGTTCTTTTTCTTTTTCTCCTACTACTTTTTTCTC